TCAAAGTAATACTGTTCTCATACTATAATGATTGATTCAAAAATGAAGATCTCTTAAAATTCTATAGCAAGTAAGTTTAGGATTTTAAGGAACTGTTTATGTATAATTAAATATTCATGGCTGCCTTTGCAAAAGACCTGGATTTACTTTCTGTCCCAACATTTGCCTGAGCAATCCCCTCCAAAATCAGACACATTGAATCAGTGTAATATAGCCTAGAATTTAAATGGTATGGAAAAGGGAAATAAGTAATTTTTAATTCATTTTCTTATTAGAAACAAAATCAGTTTGCATTCTGAGATAATCTAGAATGACTCTTCTCCAAGCTGACACTCAGTGAGATACTGCATCACGTTGGGGTAACCCACAGTTTCAGCCTTACCATAAGGAATTTCTTTATGTTCACATACACTTTTAGAGTGAAAACCGGTATAATTTAAAATATTGTATAATGAGTTTTTTTTAATGCCCCCCAAAATTTTGTTTTTTGCCATCTTCCTGTATTTTTCCATCCAAACTAATTGAAAGCATAACTTCAAATGTCTCAGAAACAATGTGAAATAATGCTATTCATTCTCTTTATTTCTTCTCCATTTCCCTTTTACATCAGGGTCATCATGCCAAGGCTTAGTGGTCAGCCTGATGTGCAGTTTCAAAACCTTATGAAAGATATTGCTGTGACAGGTTGGATGAGACATGACAAGATAAATCCATGTAAAACAATTCTAGATGTTGTTAGGCCTCAATTTAGGACAGGAGTTCTAAAGAATTTTTGCCCTGTGGGAAAGATCTGTAAAAGCCCAACAATATGAAGCATTCCACTTGTTCCACAGTGAAGGTGATACTTAATTAGTGTGCTGGCATGAGAAGTACCAGAGGTTACACTGGCTCCTCGGTGAGTTCTTCTTTGATTAAATACAAGCTCTTAGGTTGCTTCAGTGCAGGGGTCAGGAAGGCAAAAGATGCAAATTCATTCACCCACATTGTTTGCATTTTAATTGTCAAGCTTTGCTGTTTTAATGTGAGCTAAGAGTGAGCCCAACATGTAGATGTGTCTACAAGAAACATTAAGTCTTTAAGTCATTCTTCCTTCCTTATGCTGGTATAGGACCCCCATGGACTTGACCAAGAGAGCTGCTGCAGGATTGTAATGGAGTCCATGGAAGAGGGATATGGTTTCTGACTGGCCATGAGAAAGTAAGCAATCCAAAACTCAAAATGAGCTTTTGCTTATTATTCAACTTGCTGAGAGTGTCCTTGGGCATATACAAGAACAAATATAGTGAAGATATTATTCCTTAATATATGATATTCTTTAATATATGATGAAATCCCCATTGCAAATGCTTCTCCAACCTGACTTGGAGCTACATAGTTCTATAGCTAACTTACAAATAATATGTACAGCAACGTGTCACTAAACTCTGTAAAAGAGAAAGTGAGACCAAGTCACTGACTGAAAATATGCCATGAAGCAGGTAATAACTGGAAACTCATCAGTCATCTCCCTTAAGAACACAAATTGCTTAAGGGTGACTTTCCAATATTTTTGAAATACTAAAAATGTTGCTCTTTTCCCTGCATATAGAAGTATTTAAATAAGTTGATGTGAATGAAAAAGGCAAAACCACCCCTCCTCTCACTCTTTTTTTAAATATTAAGCATGTGAAAAATTGTCCTTTTTGAGGTGCTTAGAATTTTATTTGGCCCGAGACACTTTAAATAAGTTTTTGATAGAATTTCAAATAAAGCTGACCAGGATTTATCTTTCATCTTTTAAAAATGTTCAGCATTTGGCTGGTTACTTAATTTTACAGGAAAAAAAAAAAAAAAAAAGATTGGAAGATTCAAGGACAGAATAAGCTCCCACTCACTACAGAAAAGTTTTGGTTAAAGTACCCCTCCAAGACAAAATGTAGGTCCAGTTCTTGCCTGAACCTATATACTTCAAAATATCATGTGTGTCTCTATGGAACATTTTTTTACTTGGGGACTTCAGGTGAATGCAGCATACAGTAAGAAATTAATGTATAAGGAAGTGATATTAAATGGGGAATGGAAACTATTGCATGTATATCATTTGATAGGAGATTCTGTGCAATTAGAAATCTCACAATAATGTGAAACAAAATCAGATGAAATCAAACCTAGGTTATAATCAAGAGAAGGTATTTCATATTTCAAAATAACTGGTGATAGAAGGAAGGTAGCCCCAACAATAAAACTACTTCCTTTACATTCACTCAAGATGTAGTCAAGTTTTCCCTGAGCTTACTGATAGTGCCTTCATTCAACGTTCAATTTTCTTTATCAGATCACTGCTATTAGGGAGGTATGTTGAACAATAGCAAGCAAAGTCCAAAATTGCTTTCTCACATTTCTCTTTTCCTGTGATTTCTCTCAGGCTATTATTTCAAGACATTGTTCGGCTTGTACTGTAATGCCCAACTTGGGTAATGGGAATATATTTCTACTGTTTCCCACTGCAAAGAAGAGCCTGCTATGGTGCAGTTGGCCATGTTCCATTTGAACAGTATCAGCGTGAGATCATCACTGCCACTAAAAAGTAAAGTGTTAAGCAGAGTGCACAAATATTCTGGGTTTTAAGACAAAAAGCCACCACCACAACAACAAAAATACAAGAAAATCCAGGATAATTCTGGGCAACTAAATATCTGTTAGAACATTTTAACCATTTTTGAGCTATGCACAAATATATGAAATGGAAATTAAATTAGACGGCCCGACGTAAACCTTCTGTTGAGAAAAAACAACAAAACAAAACAAGAAGAGAGCTTAAAAGATAGAGAGAATGAGAGGAAGAGAGAAAGGACAGTTGAAACTGACTTGAGTGTCCCTCTAGGCTTTAGTGAAAATTGAATAGACATTGATGGATTTGTTTTCCTTTCAGATTAAATTGAACTTTTGATTTGAAATTATTTTGCCTGCTCCTGCTTTTGAAGGCTACATTTTTCCTTAACTAATTTTCTCTTGTTAAGGCATTCTAGTTTCAGAGCGGTTGATAGTGTTTTACAGATTGGCACTGTAATCCTCTGGAAAGAGCAAGGAAAGAGAATCACATAAATAACACTGAGCTATACTTTCTTGTATTGCTTTACCCTCACAATGTCATGGCTTTTAAAAATTCCATCTTGTGCAGTTATGATTTTAAATACAATTGAACCATTTCCTAGGATCACATGTTACCAGTTCCATGGAGTTAAAATCTTTCTGGACATTTTAAAATTGCTGCTGAAGTATAAATAGCAAATACTTGTACTGTTCTCCAAATGAGTATGCAGCCTACACTATGTGGCTGTGCAAACTACTTTATGGTCTTTGTGGTTTCTGCTTCTCTGGCCCTCACGGTCTCAGCCTTAATCTCAGATCAGCTTTGCTTACAGTGGAGACCCACTCAGCATAAGTCAGGGAAACATTTTGCTCTACCCTCAATCTTATATTAGTCTCAAGATTATGCTGTAGATCTAGGAATAGGCTATTACGCCCCATGCCTGGGCTGAATATCAAACACGTCCCAGCTACTCTGTGCTTAGCTTTAGGCAGACTGGAGTGATTTCTTCCCACAGTGATCTCATTGTTGCCTGCCTAAGTTAGAGAGGAGCTTCAAAATGTGTATAAACTCATGCTATGTTGTTGCTACTTGCAATGCAGCATAGGTCTGGGTCTCACTCTGGAAGGTCTGATTCTGTCTAAACTGGGCAAGTATGCACTAAGTAACTGTATGGGAACTGCTGAGTCACGGCCTGAACCTCTGATTGATCACCTGAGGCGAGCCATGAGTCAGCCTGAGGAGCACAGGTGAAGGCAATTCACCTGTGCTGCCGGAAGGGGTGGAGCCTGGCTGCATCCCTCCTAGACCTATTGAAGAGCTGGCTAGCAGTGGGGAAGGATCTCTTCTGGAGATCATCTCTCTTGGTGTTTTGTGGTGAGCCTAGCTGAAGGGTAAGCTCTTCCACTTATTCTCTTTTGTTATCGTTGTCTACTTTGCCTAACTCTCTTGATTATATTGTGATTATAACATCTTGATATCCATTGATTATACAGTTATATTGTGATTATAGCATCTTGATATCTATTGATTATACAGTAACTAAGCTGAAACTTTGATCCACAGTGCATCTCAGGGAATATCTGCCTCAAAAAGAGAAGTCATTGTACTTGTTTTATTGGGCTTGTTTTATTAAATGAAGCTATATTCATTTCTAGAAAACAAACAAACAAAACATAGATCAAAACAATTAAAAAACCCAACCAACCAGCCAAAAACCCTTTTCCAGATTAAATATGCTAGAGAGTATATCCTACCGTTGTGCAGGGAAATTAAGGCACACAGACCTTGCTTAGCTTAACATAATGACAAAACTAAAAACAGATTTCCTAAGAAAATTCCAGTAGTCAAACCAGATATACCAGCCACCAGAACTGTCAAACTAAATACCATGACTCTATAGGCTCAGGACATTTTGGCACTAAATTCTATGGAAATAGCTACAGGTAAGAGACTGAATTTTAAACTCTGTAAATAAAAACAAACAAAACACCTAAAATTCTGCCGAGCAATCTTGTTACTATGTTGAGAATGTATTCTTAGCATGTAAATGATTTACTGCATGTGGATTGGTTGGACCAATCATTCAGAAACACCATAAACTATGTCTTAATCCTTCAGGAAAGGTACCAGATCGCCTTTGTTTTGCACACTGCTTCTCTTTGGTACTTTGCATGTGTAGCATCTGTTCCAGGGAAATATCAATCAGTGGGTTCTCTGTTTCATGCACAGATTAATCTCATAACATCAAAGATTAATGTCATATGCTCAATGAAAAGTCAGAATTTATTTATTTACCTCAGCATCCTGCCATATTCCTTGTTACTTCTTGCTCTCCAGATCCTTGTATCGTGCAATAGAGGAGTGGACTTGTAAAAAAGAAACTGAGATAACCCAATAAAATCTTCTGAAGCATTAAAAAGAAGCTTTGGGGAGGCAGAGTAAGATGTAGGTGGGTGAAAATTAACACTGTTTTGCATCTGCCTGCTAAAAGCATCACAAAAAAAAAAAAGGAAAAAACACACCCATAGCATCTTTTTATGCCCCTTGTCATTTTCCTGAATACATTATCAGATTATAAATTGTGAGAATAAGAATCTGGCTTCAACTAGAAATCTCTCTCTCCTTGTTTCACTTTCAAATACACAGAAATAATCAGCCTAGAAACATAATTTGATTTTTTTAAATGTATTTTACAAAGGAAATGATTTCCTGCAGCATCAGTTGCCCAGGACTCAAATGTTCAAGAGGAGTACCTATCTGGCTATATTCTCTTACAGAAAAGATGTGGTCTATTTGGTTATCATGATCCTTTCAGTCTAGGAGTTGCTTCAGAAGCTTCTGTCTCTAGTAGTAGGATTTAGGGAGGTATTCATCTCCAAATTCAACCTTGATACCCAAACCATCTGTAGAGGAACTGTTATGTCACAGCCTGAACTGATGATTGAGCACCTGGTGAAGGAGGAGGAGGGGGGAGGGGAAGGGGGGTTTGGCTGGCTCAGGAATCACAGGTACAAGCCGTTCACCTGTGCTTCCCACATGACTGGAGGCTAGCCCTTAAATGAGCCCAGGCTTCTCTCCTCCCCATTCCTAGGGCTAGCTTCCAAAAGGAGAATGACTCTTGGATGATTGTCACTTCCTGAGAAGTAGTGCTATATGGCTAGAGACTCTATCTGCAGCTGGGTGAGTTGACTTCTTTCTATATATGCTTACTGATATTCCTAATGGTGCTTGGCCTGATATTCTCAGGATCAATGATATCAAATCACTTTTAGCTGATAACCAGTTTTGTTAATAGATAAAAGGCAGGGGATGATTATGAGGCTTTAAGTTAAACCTTACATATAATTAAGCACTTATGTTATGGTTTAGAAGAAGCCCTGCCAAGCAGAGATATGGAGCAGCACTTGCAGGACAAATTCTATAGCTGCAGTTGATGAGTCTCTCAAACAGAAAAAAAAAAAAAATGTTACAGAAAAATTTTAGTATTACACTGAGAGAAGTAGATTAAAAGAGGCATCTTATTTCTTAATCTTCTATGATGTAATCAGACACTCTTGTTTGCTTGTTTTCTAATTTTGAAACAAAAGTGTGAGAGCTGGGAAACAATGGTGAGCCTAAAGTCTGTTTCTGATGTGTAAACCTTAAAAATTTTACCTTTTGAATAGTCCAGCTAAAATAAAATTCAGACAAGTACTTCTTGCAGAGTACCAAGAGTTTATATTTCCCCTGATTCTTAGAACTAGGGGATCCCACCCTTTAACTCATTTGTTTTGGGATATAGGCAAATAGAATGGCTACTGTTACTTGTGTAAAAAGAGCAGATGGGAAAAATAAATTCTATAATTTCTGGAAGAAAATTCAGTGCATCTTCTGAACTACAAGGGATAAACAGTGGAAAATGTTAGAACTTACCTTCAGGTGTTGATGTTATAGTTTGTTTTGAGTTTTGTTTAAGATGTGAATTAAGGGTTTCAATAATAGTCTTTCCTCTGTCTTCTGAGCAGCTAACACATTCCTTGTTGCTTCCTTGTTTTAATATGTGATAAAGTAATTCAGAAGGAGAATAGTGAGTGTCAGGCTGTGTATTCCACAAAAACCCTCTGAGCTGCTTTTCAAGCTCTTTTAAGTAAGAATCTAACTTTTTCTGCAGTGCTTGTTCTCTTCTTGCTGTTTCCTCCTCCAAGAACTCTAGGAAAGTATTCACAGACAGCAAAGATATCAGCACCAACAGTGGCTCAAATTCATTTCTGAGCAGACTGAAATACTGTCGGAACAGCTGGAGTTCCGTCAGGAATGTGTGCAGCCATGTGGGCAGGAGAGCTGCACACACATACATGTACTTTCTTGATCCAAATTCAGGTGGAATTTGAGTGAAGTTTTTAAAATTTCTGTTTGGGAGGTCTAGGATCACGGTGCTGTGTAGTACGATGTATCATATTTCATAATAGAAGGCTTTTATTTAAAATCTGTGACAATGCCAAGTGCTGCTGCTTACTGAAATCCAATTACTTGAGAAACATTCAAGACATCGCACTTCAAGATGTCATCTCTAAGGGGAAACAACTGCATTAAAACAGTCATGAAACTTCAGGACCAAACACTTAGGAAAAAAAAAAAATCAGCTGTAAAATTTAAAGTACTGATTTTCATTTTCCCTCTTCTTCAGTAATGTCATGCAAATACATTTCATTGGGATTCACCACAGGCACAATTATCAATATTTTTTTCTGCTGGATTGCAACTGGAATAAGTATGTACCCAGACGCTTGATAAAATGCGTCTGATTTCACTCTTTGTGAAGCACAGGGTTATTAATTATTACTGTTCTCACTCTTCTGGATATGGCAAAGAAATAGCAAAATCAAATCAAATTTGTCTCTGTATTTAGCCTACGATATTTTGATTAAAGAAGGTACTATAATAACTGGAGCATAGTTGCAACAAATATTGATTAATTGGAGATCTCGCAACAAATTTAAGTGCTACGCTGTTTTTATGTAGGGTTGAAAGTACTCTACAAAACCTCTGTTTTACATCCCAGGAATGATGTCATTTTTGCTAACATTTTCATAATTTGTTAGTTGTTTATAAGAAGCAATATGGGATAGGCTAGCAAACGTTAATATTTTCACAAAAAAAATTATTTGTTTCTTTAATTCTTTTTTCCTAAGAAAAGGAGTCTTTAGAAAATGCAATACAGCTTAAACTGAGATTGCCATAGTGCAAGATGTGTGAGGTCATGTATCAAGTAATGAGGATATGTTAAGCAGTTAACAGTAAACACTAGCCATCCCATTACTTGCTTATGTATTCAGCTCTTTTTAACACCAACTATTTCAGGCTCTGAAAGATTCAGATGTATTTTATCTCCTGTTGTTCTTGTTAAGATAAATTTTAATGGCAGGCTAAACTTTCTGGGCTTTTATTTTTTTTAAATTCAGCTTTTCTTTGCTTGTATTTTTCATACGAATTAAATCTGTTAGGGTGAGACTATGAACCTCTTGTCTTTGACTCCAGTATCAGGCTGGATGAGATCTTCAGTACTGAGAATTGCTTTACTAATTAGTATAAACTACTTCATTTTCATAATTGGTTCTTTCATCCTCATAGAATTCTTTCATAGGTTCTTTCAAAGAATCGTTTGAAGCACCTTTGGTAAACATGCAGTCTCTGTACTTCTTTAAATATGGCACTCAGGTAGACTGACAGCAGATCAGGTGTTAGTCCAGGCTAGTATATGTATAGTAATCCTTGAAGTCTTCTCTAGATTTCCTGTTAAAAGTTTTGCTCTTCCTCCAGCTTGTTTATCAACAGAAGGCCTAATACACTGAAATACTTTCATGTTATAGTGGATACTTGAAATTTATAAGCCAGTATCCTACTCATATCACATCTTAACTATCTTTAGAAAATGAGCTACAGGAGGTCTAACCAAATATCTTAAGAGAAACAAAAATGGGCATAAGCAAAGTAATTCAAAACTGTTGGAACAGCTTTGGTCATGCTTGCATGTGGAGTGCTCTTTAAAAGGTGATTACAGTTAGTGAGAGTGTTGGCTTTTTGACCTCAGGAAGCAAGTGAAATTCTAGGAAAAATTTTATTTGTGGCTGTTGAGTGCATAATAGTTTTACTGCAAGAAATAGGATGATAAAGTAATACTCAGAAGTTACTAAGTGGCTTCTCCAAAATATATTTTTCATAAATTGCTCTTTTCTTCTAACTCTTTCTACATCAACCTCCAGGGGGCTTTCAGAAGAGCAAGAAGAAATGAAGATGCTCTTCACCTGAATTTTTCTTTAAGTCCTATTTTCAATGAGCAATAGAAATAAAAGATTTTCTTCCATCAAATACTTTCTGTGATGGCAGCAGTTTAGTGTGAATGTGTGATAAGAATATCTGCAATGTAAAGATAGCTGGGAACTTTGAATCAGTCCCTTGGCTGACAGTGGGCAGCCCAGTGTGTTACAGAGGAGGGTTTGAGAAATCCTGTGTCTGGCAGATGTGAAACAGTTTGCAGCCATGCTAATCGCTATTGCCTTGGAATTGATTTGACCCTGGAACATGAAGTGAGGCTTTATTTTTGTCTTCTCTTGCTTGCTCTGGATATTTTTATCAGAGTAAATGCTTCTTTTTCCCCCTCGGTCTGAGATAGAGAGCTATATTTGTTACTGGTGAAAACCTGTAGCAATGAGTTTAACTGTTTAACTATTCAGTAAGAATACAGGTCTTTTAATACGGGAAATTATCATCTTTTATCAAAATATTTTCCCTTTTCTCGTATTTGCTTCCTTTGAATTTAAGTATCACTCTTCCTTCTCGTACTGAAAGATGCGAAATCGCAATGTTTCATTTTTCACTTCAAGTACTTTTTTGTAGATTGCCTTATTCATCTACGTATTTTCTCAATGTAAACAAGCCTGGTGCTTTTAATTCCTTTTCTAGGCAAGTTGTCTTGATGATTTAACCACCTTTGTCTGGACCTCCTTTAACTACTCTGCTTTTTGGATGCTTTTCTTTAATCTGAGTTGCTTCTCAAGGTATTACATCTCATTTATGTAATTGCTTTATATTCTTAGACTTCAGTCAAACAAAACAGAGTTGAATCTTCAAAGAGATTGACAGATGTCATACTGCCTGCCAAAATTATCATAGAAATATGTACACAAATTAAATTCTATTTCAATGCACACTGCTTTATTTTTTTTTTTTTTTAAGGCTTGGTGGATATATATATTATTTGTCATAGTTTTGTCCATTGATTTGTTCTTGTTAATTTGGTTAAAGGTCTGACTTCCCTAGCCCAATGATTTAGGCCACCTACTCATTTTATGTCACTTACAGTTTCCTATAATTAATTACTTCATTCAGGTCGAAAGCTTGCAGCACAATTACTGATAAATCTCTTGAGAAGAATAGCAGAAGAACAAATAATAGCCTAGAAAACAAAGAGTAAATTTTTTTCAAGTAATCATTTTAATTTCTTTGCAAGTAAAAAGATTCATTGGTTTTCTTAAAAATTTTCCACTCATGGAGAATTCCAGCTTATCCATGGACTACTTTTTGAGATGACTTTGAAGCATAGAGAAGGCAGACTTTCATTAGGGTGCTGCTGACAAACCACGTGCAACACCACAAACTGTTGTTCTTAAAAACTATCAATGAAAAATCACTGAGAAGGGCAGATGGGGAACAGAGGCTTGTTAGCTAAGCTGAATGTATTGAAAAATACATCACTAAGATATTAGAGGATCTTATACATTGTAGCTTTCTTTAATTGCAGTGACACTCAGCATGTCTCCAGGTTCCATTGAGTTGATAACATAGGTTTGCTTACATGTGTCCTTATTTCCAGACTTGAGGAGCTATTGTTAAAACATTTCAGGCAAAGCAAGCAGCTGTAATGTTCAAGGAACATAGAAATTTCACCTATTTTACAGATGAAAGGAAGAATCTATGTGCAAAGGGCAATTCCATGCAATCACTATAGTTAAAAATACATAAATAATTAGGTTGATAGCAATAATATTCATGTTCTTGACAGTAATTAAGTTGGAATGGATGTAGCTGTGGGGCTAGGGCTCCTCTACGGAGTCAGCAAGATATTAGGTGTAGGTGAAAATGTACAAATTGTGGCTTTTTATTGGTTTGCAGTGTGTAGATGTGTAATTATGTCTTTGTGT